TTTACCCGATAAACAAAATAAATAAACTTTACTTTGTGTTGGTGCTTCGTGAGAACTATTTACCAACTGTGGCGTGGTAGCTGAGGAGATAAATGCTCGTCTTATATTTCACTGCCAGCACAGTGAATAATCAAGAATTACAAATTGGAAGGTTCACGTTCGCACAGAATATCAACGCGAAATAGCAGGATATTGATATTGCTGCTGTGGTTTCTTATACGTAACGAGATCCACTATCTTACTTCTCAGGGGTGATCATGCATCTGCATTTTTTTAAAACGAGGATGTAGGTGTCTATGACTCACAGTATCCAGCTACCATCAGCTGGACTGTTTACTTCGTTTGTCACAATCTATACAAATAAATAAAATTGAAGTGTCTGTTTGTAATTTCAAAATAACAGCTCTTTTACTAAATACATATGAAAGTACGGTGTAATTTATAAAAAGTAAACAATTTTTAAAAAAAATTGTGTCCGTGTGTCTGTTTGTTCCGGGCTAATCTCCAAAATGGCTGGACCTATTTTGACGGGACGTTCACTGGCAGATAGCTGATAAGGAGTAACTTAGCCTACTTTTATTTTAGAAGAAGTATTAGTCTTTACAAAATCAAACCCAAGACTCGCGGCTTCATAGTAGAAGCACTGACGTAAATTCACCCGGAAATTGGTCGTGAATTGTCGATAATTTGCATATCTTTTTATGTAAACTACGCGCTATAGAGATATTTGAATTATTTCGCTCTATACTCACAATGACACTGAAAAACCTGCTGAAAATTAAACTAAGGTCTTGCTAATGACGGCTTATGCGCGACAAAATGGCGGTCATGATAATGACGACGTGTACAATTAACACAGACCAAGACTAGAATACTAAACCGTGGTAGCTCAGATGTTAGCGCTCGCTGTAAATTTCACAGTACGCGAGCAACCCGGGTTTGATCCCCGCCAGTGAAAATGGCACCAATGACATTGTTAATTGCAATTTTAAGTGCTGATTTACCACGTACTCAACGGTGAAGAAAAACATCGTGAGGAAACCTGCATGTCTGAGAAATAAGAAAAAAAATAATTTCAAAGACATATGGAGTTCGTCAACACGCATCGCGGCGGACATTTACTTGACCTAAAACCCTCTCATAAATGAGAGGAGGCCTGTGCCCAGCTGTGGGACGTATACAGGCTTTAACTTTAAGACAAGAGAAACCCGCAGGCGTAGCCAAGTTTACTTTCGAAATCATTGAAGTCATAAAAAAATATTATCACATAAATTAATGCTAATATAAATTGTCATTCCTATTCATTTATATAGTTTTCTATGAGCCTGCTGTTCTTATGTTGTAATACTAAACAAGCAATTTTTAAAGGCCATTACTTAACAATGTCTTAGTTTCTTTAACGGACTGCAAAAAAGTAGTATTTACTGCACTGTTTTTAATGTAGGTATGTCATGTAATACAAAGTCTTCTATATTTGCTAACTGATTAGCTGATTTTTATTTACAGATAAATTATATAATTATATCTACGTGATAGAGCTTCGCTGTAGGCTATATTATGGTTGTAACACGAATGGGTCGGCTCGAGCTGGGAAGGCATAGCAGGTTAATTGGTGACAACGCACGCAAAATGCATTATGATTGTTAATCGAGGGTAGATGTAGATGTCTATGGGCCACAGCATCCATTTACCATCAGGTGGACAGGGTGCTCTTTGTCAGCCTTATTCAAAGAAACTACTTTCACAAAGGCCCCATTTCAATATCAAGCATCCCACTGCTGGGCATGTGTCCTCTCATTTCTGAGGGGACTATGAAGGAATTGGTTCGCCGCGCCGCTTCACATGTTTTTGAAGTATTTTATATTTCATCACGATGTTTTCCTTTACCGCCGTATACGTCATAAATCAGCACTTTACAATTAACAATCTCATTGGTACTAGTGCGGATCGAAATACTTCCAGATCCAACCAGATGCATTAATAATTGAAGTGAGTTCATACACCACTACACTTTATTACCAGAATGATTTTAAGAACATATTCAGTATCTGATATAAAATATACATACCTACCTATATATAAAAAAACAATTAGTCTCTGTCCGTTGTCCGTTAGTCTAGCTAATACTTGAAAACGGCTCGAACGATTTTGATTAAGTTTAGTGTGCGTTTGAGAGGGTCCCTGGATTTTTTGGATTCACAATTAAACCCGGTAGGTAGCGCTGCTGTCGAGATCCAGAAATCACACGTGCGAAGCCAGGGCGAATCGCTAGTAATAAATGAAATAAAAATAAGTTATACAAAAAAAAAAATCGAAATTTTTAGTAGGTATGAAAATATTCTAAATTGTGTACACTACGTGGAATAGTTATAGTAGTCCTGTAGCGAAATGAAAATCTAGTAAAAATAATACAATTCTTTGGTACTTACTGTGCTTCATTAGTATGTTACCGCACTAATCGATCGATCATCGATCGATGGTAGAATGGATTAGTCTACGTCGATCGATAGTTTCTACCACACTGAACGATCAATCGTAGAATGAATTAGTCGACGTCGATCGATCTGCTTGATTCTTCGAGAACCCGCCCCGCTTCAAACTGCTATTTAAAATACCGTCTAGATGAATTTAAGCTGTCCCTGGCATTAAAAAACGGTCGCATCCAGTCTTCTGAGATAGTCTTTGTAATAATATGAGTTGAAGCGCACTGGCCAACAATAACGCGTCCTTATCTAAATAAATTTTGAAAGATACTGATGATGAGCCCACAACCATATCGATTAATCGACGATCAATGATTGAACAACGTTTTATCGAGCAGTATCTGTCGATCAGCTAAAGCTAACATCAATCAACCGACATCGATTAATGGCATCGATCGACAATTATTCGATTGGTGTAGTAACTCACTACACTAAAGTCCTGCTCGACTGACGAGTCACAACTTGCGGTAAAGTTCACGGTGGTATTACTCGCGGCTAGTCGTTCCTAATACACTATTGATCGATTGGTGTAGTAACTCACTACACTAAGGTCCTGCTCGACTGACGAGTCACAACTTGCGGTAAAGTTTACGGTGGTATTACTCGCGGCTAGTCGTTCCTAATACACTATTGATCGATTGGTGTAGTAACTCACTACACTAAGGTCCTGCTCGACTGACGAGTCACAACTTGCGGTAAAGCTCACGGTGGTATTACTCGCGGCTAGTCGTTCCTAATACACTATTGATCGATTGGTGTAGTAACTCACTACACTAAGGTCCTGCTTGACTGACGAGTCACAACTTGCGGTAAAGCTCACGGTGGTATTACTCGCGGCTAGTCGTTCCTAATACACTATTGATCGATTGGTGTAGTAACTCACTACACTAAGGTCCTGTTCGACTGACGAGTCACAACTTGCGGTAAAGCTCACGGTGGTATTACTCGCGGCTAGTCGTTCCTAATACACTATTGATCGATTGGTGTAGTAACTCACTACACTAAGGTCCTGCTTGACTGACGAGTCACAACTTGCGGTAAAGCTCACGGTGGTATTACTCGCGGCTAGTCGTTCCTAATACACTATTGATCGATTGGTGTAGTAACTCACTACACTAAGGTCCTGCTTGACTGACGAGTCACAACTTGCGGTAAAGCTCACGGTGGTATTACTCGCGGCTAGTCGTTCCTAATACACTATTGATCGATTGGTGTAGTAACTCACTACACTAAGGTCCTGCTCGACTGACGAGTCACAACTTGCGGTAAAGCTCACGGTGGTATTACTCGCGGCTAGTCGTTCCTAATACACTATTGATCGATTGGTGTAGTAACTCACTACACTAAGGTCCTGCTTGACTGACGAGTCACAACTTGCGGTAAAGCTCACGGTGGTATTACTCGCGGCTAGTCGTTCCTAATACACTATTGATCGATTGGTGTAGTAACTCACTACACTAAGGTCCTGCTTGACTGACGAGTCACAACTTGCGGTAAAGCTCACGGTGGTATTACTCGCGGCTAGTCGTTCCTAATACACTATTGATCGATTGGTGTAGTAACTCACTACACTAAGGTCCTGCTTGACTGACGAGTCACAACTTGCGGTAAAGTTTACGGTGGTATTACTCGCGGCTAGTCGTTCCTAATACACTAGCGATCTAAACAGTTATTCTTAAAGCCACTGATTGACGGGCGAGTTTTACCGCGGTGTTGATGGCTTGCTGATAAAGCTCATTAATGGCCTCGCCAGAGTTGTATGAAGAAATACACCGCGGTAATTTTTACCACAAGATTACGGCTCGCCCGTGGCCCTCTGCCTTACACAGCACTGGCGACCCGCAAGCCTGGTTTGTCGACCCACAAAACCGCGTTTTTGCAAAGAGCTACCGACGAGCTTTACCGGCGAGCCACTAAAGACCGGGGTATAGCTCGTCAATCGCTCAGGGCCAGGGTCATTAGTCGTTTTAAATATGACAAAAGCTAATAATTTCGTCAAATATAATAAAATATAACATGATTTCATGTTATGACGATGAGATAGGTAATCGGTACTGTCCCTTAATTATTTATTGATATTTATTTTTATACAATTAGGGTAACAAACGAGCACACAGTCCACCTGATGGTAAGTGGATGCTGTGAGCCTGTGGCCCATAGACATCTACATCTAGCCTCAATAAAGAACCAAAATTCACATGTGTTGTTACCCCTGAAGACTAAGATAGAATGCCTCGTTTCCAGTAAAAGAGGTCTGCGGTTTTTTACACTCACCATACGAAACACGGCAGCATTAATATGCTATTTTACGCTAATATTCTGCAAGAGCGTGGTCCCCGGTCGAGTAGGTCGTTCGTGCTACAACTATACTATACCAGCAGCGTGGCTCTACCACGTGTTAATTATTAGAATTTAGTGTCGTATATATTAATATAATATTTCAAATATCTAGTTGTTTCTTTGTTATGCACCGTTGTTTAACAATACAGATGACTTTAAGCTATATTTTTTTCACAGGGCGGCAACAACGCCGGTCATACTGTCGTGGTGGACGGAAAAGAGTTCGATTTCCACCTACTTCCTAGCGGCATTATCAATCAGAAATGTATTTCCGTTATCGGTAAGTGTATTATTTATTTCTTTTACCTTGACCCTTATGTCTGTTATTGATTTTACTATGTATTTTGTTTTTCCTTCCTACTTGTCTATCTTCTAATATATAAAAATTAATTTTTGTTTATTCGTATTTTATACGCTGCCATACCTTTCATCAGATTGCGGTAATACTTTGTCAAGTTATTGCAATTTATATAATACACTCAGCGGCACGGAATCTTGGCCAAGCGGTTATCTCGCGATAGCAAAAGCTTTAAGTGTTTCTGATGAATGTTTGTTATGCAGGTATGTCAAAAAATGTTTGCTCTCAAGTTCAAGAGGGTAATTCATTATGTTTAAGTGCACCATGACGAATTCTTTAATTTTTAGTTGAATCGGGTCATTTGAGCGACTAAGTTCACATTTTAAATTTGTGTGTTGTGAAAAGTTTACTGTAAGGTTATTCAATTATTGTGCTCTTGTGTCTTAATTCAATAACTAAAGGTGCTTTAAAGCCAATAAAAATGCCATTAACACCAGCACAAGTTGCACAAGCAGTAGCATTAATTGACCAAGGGCTGACACAGCGTGAAGTTGCTATTGTGCTTAACGTACCACGGTCCTCAATGCAGTATTCACTGAAACGATACCAGGAGACAGGACGCTACACCCGCAGGCCAGGCAGTGGGGGCGTAAGGTGAACATCGACCCGGGACGATCGTTTTATTGTTATGGAGATTTTGAGAAACCGCTACCTGACCGCTGTTGAGATACGCCAGCGGCTCCAAATCGCAAGAGGCGTTAATGTTAGTGAGCGTACGGTGAGAAGACGAATGGAGGAAGTGAATTTAAAATCTCGTAGACCAGCACGAGGTCCAGAACTTCTCAGACAGCACCGAGTAGCCCGACTTCAGTTCGCAAGAGAACATGTCAATTGGACCCACGAGCAATGGGCTAGAGTGTTGTTCACAGATGAGTGTCGAATAGCTTTACGTGCTCCAGACGGTCGAGAACGAGTGTGGAGAAAAAGAGGAGAGAGGTTTCTACCCATTACCACCACCCAAACTGTGAGTTTCCATGGAGGCTCAATAATGGTATGGGGAGGTGTAAGTTCCGACGCACGTACAGAGTTGGTCATCGTCGATAATCGGCTTACAGCTACTCGATACATCGAGGAAGTTCTTCAGGAGCACGTAATTCCTTATTCGGGATTCATTGGACACGACCAATTCCTCCTCATGCACGATAATGCACGCCCGCACGTCGCACATTGTGTAGAGGAATATCTGGAAGAGGTTGGAATACAAAAATTACAGTGGCCAGCTCGTAGCCCGGACTTAAATCCAATTGAGCATGTATGGGGTATGTTCAAAAGAAAGATAAAGTCCAGCTCCAAACCGCCACAAACTCTAAATGAGCTCCGAAATGCAGCGCTGGCCGCTTGGGACAGCATACCGCAAGTTGATGTCAGAAACATCATTCAAAGCATGCCAGATCGAATGCAAGCGGTTATCAGGGCTAGGGGAGGAAACACCCGATATTAAAACTGATAGACAATAAAGAAATAGACTTAATTTTTAACTTTGTAGTGTTTTTAAAGTGACAATGGAAAGATGTTAATTTTAGTGAAAACATGTTATTTTGAAAAGAAAAATTTCGGTGAAGTAAACATTAAATTTCTACGTTCTAAAACCATTAGAGACACTTATTGAATGCATCTACCCTTAATTTACTGTTAAAAAAACGTTTCAGTGCAAATAATCAGCAAATTCACGAGTGGCCAAGTTTCCGTGCCGGTGAGTGTATATTATTACAATTAATTTACAGTAGGTGGCGTGCGTATCACACCGACAAATTTGAAAGTACCTAATATATCACTCAACTTCAATAAATGTATTACATTCCTAATTAAACAATATAAGTCTCATCTTATATTTCATAAATTAGTTTAGCCCTATTCTATGAAACTGTAGATCTAAAAATAAAAATAAAACAATATCCACATAATTTCTCAAGACGTTGCTTCAATTTTTCTATACCTACATGTCTTTTCACCGGCATGAGAAGTTAGGTATCATTAAGAAATTATTTCATTATTTATAGTGCTTTAAAGTATACTTTGGCTTTTCGTTAAAAGTTTATTTTTTTTACCATTCTGAGTAGACGAAAGAATATCACAATCTCAAGGCAATAACTGAAATATTGTCTAAATAGTTAAAACTTTATTCCCTATTTTGCCGTCCTTAGAGGCGTAATTTTCCATCCAAATTTACCTATAAAGTAAGACCTATTTAATGAAAAAAAAAATCATTAATATAAAAATCCGAAATAAGAATCTACTTTTTTGAAGTGAGCGCTGCATTAGATCGATTCCATTCCATTACAGCCTATAAAATTCCAATGCTGAACATAGGCCTACCCTATAGGCCTCTATAGAGGGGATTGTGCTATAGTTGCTTGGCAGTTGGTTTGGCAACTGCCGCATTTTTTTTGGGTTGTTGAAAAAGATACTGCTGCCCATCTCTTAGTTCTGTTTCCCTCTGTCGCCTCTTACTACATCCACGGGACGATATGAGTAGTATTTTTATATACGATACCTAGTAGTATTTTTACACCGCCACTGCACGGTTTTGTAAATGCTATATTCAAAATACTTAAACCAGCGAAGGGTAGCACCATTAAGAGGCCTACAAGAGCTAAGTGACCTCGAATGACCCACGCATACATTACACAATTTCCGCATAGCCTCGGCCGGCACCTTCAGTACACATGCGTACGTATTATGTTCAGAAATAAGAATATCTATCTATTGATCGTACTGAAAAATTATAACACTATTACGTTAATATATAGCTTGTTGGAAAATACTTTAGAAATGAGTTGCGGGGTGACTCAAACTTTAGGCCTAGTCAGTTTGAATAGCCTATACGTAGAGGATGTCATGGGGGTCATGGTTGAATAGGGGTAAAAAGTTCTCATTACACTCCTAGGGGGTCAAAATGGCCAAAAACCAAAAAACAATCAATTCTTATTTCGGCTATAACTCCGCCTCCTTTGTAGGTTCTTACACAGTCTTTACTTCCCGCATCCCACTTGTTGTTGACGAGTATGTTTATCTGGGACAAATAGTACGACTAGGTAAGTCCAACTTCGACCGAGAGGTCAATCGACGGATTCAACTCGGCTGGGCAGCGTTCGGGAAGCTACGAAACATCTTCTCGTCAGACATACCTCAAAACCTTAAAACGAAATTGTACAACCAGTGCGTGTTGCCAGTGATGACTTACGGAACTGAGACGTGGTCCTTCACTGCTGGCCGTATGAGGAAGCTCAAGGTCGCTCAGCGAGCTATGGAGAGGGCTATGCTCGGAGTTTCTCTGCGTGATAAACTTAGGAATGAGGATATCCGCAGTAGAACCAGAGTAACCGACATAGCCCAACGGATTAGTAAGCTAAAGTGGCAGTGGGCCGGCCATATAGCTCGAAGAACCGACAACCGATGGAGAAGAAAGGTTCTTGAGTGGCAGCCTCGTACCGGTAGGAGAAGTGTAGGGCGACCCCCCACGAGATGTAGTGACGACCTGGTAAGACATGCAGGAAGTCGATGGATGCAGGTGGCTCAGGACCGTGCTTTGTGACATTCCTTGGGGGAGGCCTATGTTCAGCAGTGGACTTATGAAAGGCTGTAATGATGAATGATGATGATGATGATTCCACTTGTAGAATAATCTTTTAGAATATTAGTATGGTTTTTAATCGTTAAAAGAAATTTTTAGAGGTATCTTTGTGATTTTTTCTATCGTATCAAATTATAAGTACTTTTCATGTTTTCAATGCACTATCCAACTAGCATATATATTGAAAAATAACATATATTTTCCTGATTTTGTTTACTGCAGCGGAATATACTTTAAGGCATTATAAAACTTGCTAAACCTGTAGTCACCTTAAAGGTGCGAGGCACTCACTTCGAATCTGGCCGGATTCCTTTACGTTCGACATTGCGATCAATTACATCAAACAAATTTTGCCATTTTATTCTGAAATATATCAACAAAATTTCTTTCAGAATACAAAATTTTGATATAAAAAAAAATATTTCTAGTTTAAACTTTAATAATCAACAAACAATCACGACTAACACTAAAAATCTAGTACAGTGTTACTAGTTAAATTGTAACTATCTTTACTATTAGTAATTTATACTGTAGTATATATTATGTAAGCATGTTTGCTAAAAGGTACCGTAGCATATTATAATTTAACCAGCGATCCGCCCCGACTTCGCACGTTCGATTTTGGGACCTCGACAATAGCGCCACCTAACAGGTCCAAATGTGAATCTAAACCATCTAGGGACCCATTCACACACACACACACGCGCGCGCACACACACACACACACACACACACACACACACACACACACACACACACACACACAAAATCTTATCAAAAGCCGTTGCGTAGTTTAATAGATCTAAGCGTACAGACGGCGGGAAGCGACTTTATTTTATACTATGTAGAGATACGATATTAGTATAAAGATCTGTCGAGCTGATTTACAAACACGTATTTATGTAGGATGTATGTATATAGTAGGTTTGTTGAGGTTAGTGCCAGCATACACCAGTAAGCATGACGTGGCCGTGCTGACATGTTTTAACGAAGGCAATAGGCGTGAAATTGCTTTTGAGTGATGAGAACTTGGTTGGACGCCCTTTCATCACTGGCGAGCCAACATAATCTTTTTTTAAACCGTATGATATAATATGATATCTTTGTATATTTTTTTCACAGTTGATATTACACGTATCTTTCTTTGTTTCCCACAGTAATTGTCTTTTAGAAAGTCAAGCTTATAGTTCCAATGGTAGGAATTGGCCACTGCCCGTAGATTGTAGTAACGTGCCACTAATCCCAAACAAAGAACGCTTATGTTTTGTTATATTTACGCGAATAAATTAACATTTTAATTTTTGACTGCAATAAAAGAAGAAAGTCCCATCTGTGACTTATAAAAAAATAATGTGTAAACTGTGTTACTTGCCTAGCATGTCGCACAACCAGGCACAAGAGAGAACGGTGAGCTGTAGGTAGGAAAATTTGGAATAGGGCAACGGAACCCAAGGGGCCAACAGCTGGCCGACTTTATGGAGAAAGAGGAACACTTAATAATCAACTCTTTCTTCCACAAGCGACCCCACAGGAAGTGGACCTGGTCGAGCCCCTACGGTTCGACAAAAAATGAGATTGACTTCATTATGTCGACCAGACGACAACTGTTTAGTGATGTCGCAGTGATCGCGAGGTTGAAAATTGGTAGTGATCACCGAATGGTTAGAGGGACACTGAACCTAAAGATTAAGTTGGAAGAGGTATTGTCTAATGAAGTAAACGCTCCGTCCCTCTCGTGCTCTGATCCAAAGTCCCGAAACCTTTCAGCTCGAGTTACAAAGCCGTTTTCAGTGCCTAGAAGACTGCAATAAAGTAGACGATATGAATGACAAGCTCGTGGAAACTGTTCATGCGGTCTGAGCTAAGTTCTGCAAGACCCGCCGCAGAAGAACACAAAAGCTCTCCGATCACACTCTTAATGTCATGGCTGTTAGACGGGAAATGAAGCTGCAGTCTTCAACAGATTGGACGGCATACAGGCAACTGAAATGGAACTGAACTTGGAGTGGCACTACTCCGGAGGCGTGGAGCAGAAGTGAGGTGGTCCTTGTTCTTCAAGAAAGGTGATAACGCTCTCTTGAAGAACTACATAACGCTTTCCCTTCTGAGCCGCGTCTACGTGCTGTTTTCGAGAGTCATTACGAATCGTCTCGCACGCAGACTCGACGACTTCCAACCTCCCGAGCAAGCCGGTTTCCGAAAAGGCTTTAGTACCATAGACCACATACATACCCATCGGCAAATTGTACAGAAGACCGAAGAGTACAACATTAAGACATGCAGGAAGTGGATGGATGCAGGTGGCTCAGGGCCGTGCTTTGTGGCATTCCTTCAGGGAGGCCTATGTTCAGCAGTGGACTTGTGAAGGGCTGTAATGATAATGATGATAATGAAGCGTGACTGTCACGTACATTTTATTAATACAAGACTTTATAGAGTAACTCGCGAGTTTTTATGATGTGGTAAAGTCATGCTGTAATTACGGCTAATGATGAATCTATTATGTAGAAATTATTTTATCTACGGCCAAATACTCAAACGCGATTCAATTTTAAAATGTCGTTAAATCTCGTGGTGTCACAGTCACTTTGATTTAATGTGATGAGACAACACGAGACTTAACAGCATCTTAAAATTGAGTATTTGGACATTATTTCATTATAGTCGGCTCTTAATTTTTAACTATATTAAAAGTGTAATATTTTGACACTTGATTGGCCTAAGGATATTCACAAGCTCAATGTAACAACTTGGATGACGTCTAATTATTTAGTTTAAATTTTGTATCAGGTTTAAACTAGAGTCTGTTTAAATAAAGATGTCCCGCGGAAAATATACGAACTAAAATGTAACGTGCAAGATTTGACAGCATTTTATACGTGGTAGAGCTGTATGACGGTTCCGTGGCGTAGTGGCTTAGCAATGAGTTGTTGCGCTGGGGGCCGCGGGTTCGAATCCCGCACGGAACAAGTATTTGTATTCCCTACAAATAATTGTTCCGGGTCTGGATGTTTGTCCTCGTGTAATCTATGTTTGTAAACTGCCTCCACGATACAGGAAAAAATCCTAGTGTGGGGGTAACGTTTTTTTTTTAGAAAAAGAAAAAAAAAAGAAAAGAGCCATGCTGCAGCTATATTAGTAGTATAGTTGTAGCACGAACGGGTCTGCTCGACCACGGAAGGAACACGCTCTCACAGAATAGCAGCTTAATGCTGCTGTGTTTCGTATAGTGAGTGTAGAGAACCGGAGACCCTTTTTACTGGATACGTAGCATTTCATTTTAGTCCTCAGTGGTGGCAACGTATCTGCATTTAATACTTAATCGAGGTTCGATGTAGATATCTATGAACCACAGCATCCACTCACCGTCAGGTGGGCTATGTGCTTATTTGTCACCGTTACATTATTAAAAAAAAGCAAATGTTAAGTTTCGCGAAGACTGGCGCTGCGTTTATAGGACTTCTTACGTGACAGCCTAACCACGTTTATTAATAAGGCCGTTTGTATTTTCGTAAAAATATCCTCCCTCAAAAATATATTTTAATAAAGCTTGTTTAAAACTGGTAAAATCCGCTCATAGAGCGAAAAGTTACCAAGTCTATTCGAGAAAACACAGTGAT